AAAGCACGCTCACGAGGGTGCACATGAGTGGAGGAGGACCAGAGGGAGACGGAGAAGCAGACTCCTCACTGAGCAGGAGTGGGAATCCCCATACGGGGCTCCATCCCAGAACCCAAGATCAGGACCTGAGACAAAGGCAGATGCTTAAAACAAAACAAAACAAAACAAAAAAAACAAAGGCAGATGCTTAACTATCTGAGCCACCCATGTGCCCCTGTATTTTTAATTTCTTAAGGAACCTCCATACTGATTTCCATAGTGACTAAACCAGTTTATTTTCCCATCAACAGGGCATGAGGGTTCCCTTTTCTCAAAATCGTTACCAACACTTGTTATTTAATGGCTTCTTGATGATAGTCATTCTAACAAATGTGAGGTGATATGTTATTACGGTTTTGATATGCATTTTCCTGAGGATGGGTGATGTTGAGCATCTTTTCATGTACCTATGGGCCTTTTGGATGTCTTCTTTAGAAAAATGTCTTTTAGTTTCTCTGCCATCAACTTCTCTGCCTTTTTGTTTTAGTCAGGCCTTCAGGGGATTGAATGAATAATGCCCATCTACAGTGATCAGGGCAGTCTTCTACAGATTCAAATGCTAATCTCTTCTGGAAACACATCACAGACATACCCAGAAATAATTCTTTACAGCTATGTGGGCATCCCTTAGTTCCCTCAAATTGATACGTAAAAATAACCATCCAACCAACCTCAGACAAATTCATTATGAATCAGGTTAAAAATGAAGCAAAGTAAAGCCAGTCCATAATTTTGCCCAAACACAGATAAAAACAAGGTCATTGTGCAACCCACAAAATACCAAACATCCTCTCTCATCCTCATCCCTCTCTCTTGCTATGAGTGATTGTGTCTGTACCCAGTCATGAAAATTGCTCTGGCTTTCTGGCAGCATCCAATCTGAAGCAAACCCCCATTTTCTTGGATCCTCTTCCAATAACCTAACTGAAGCCCAAGTCCTATAATAGGTTCTTTCTAACACTCTTTTACTGAGACATCCCATGGTTCCTACCGTGTGTTCCCCCTCACTGCAATAAGTAATGAATCCAGACTGTTCAACTATAGTTGTGTTCCTGGTGGTCATTGGATGAAGGCAGTGTCAATGTTACAGGGATGGAGATCCATGATATGCATGAATTTTTGTGTTTGAGAATGTTACTCTTTAATAGTAGAGATCACAAAAGTCACTATATTCAGAAAGAAGCAAAATATAAGCAAACTCAATATGAAAACAACTATAGAATTGCAGAGGGCACAGAGAGGGAAAATGAAGAGAGTAGGTTGGTTGATCATCATTCTCCTCCTTAGTACCACCATCACCACCACTGATCTGAAGGAGAATTCAGAGCCTGGAGAGAGGTTAAAAAATGTATCCAATAACATGGAGTGAAGCCATAGGATCTGTAAGACTGAAGTTCATGGACAAGACACGACACCACTAGCCTCTAAGTGTTGCCAAATATTTGCATGCCACTGGAAAGAAACCTTCTTAAATGAAGAGCTAAGCCAGGAAAAAAAATCATTGAACATTGATTTTTTTTTAAAAAAAAGTCTTATTTTAAAATTAGGACATGTAATATTACAACTATCGTTGAAGTTTTCTTATTTTATCATGATCAAAGAATTTTTCTTTGCCTTTTAAAAAATAAGTTTTTGGTTAAAATTTCAAAAATGATATAACCAGTGAGCATTGCATTCTCTGGGTGTAATACTGCTATAGTAATAAACTGTCGTTGAATAAAGTAAGTTTGAATCTAGTTCATGTAGATTTTTTTATTTTACTGACCTCCTAAATTGATTAATAAAATAATGTTTCTCACTCTACTTCTTAATATTGAATTTATTTTTAAAAATTTATTTTTATAAACCATGTTGGTTGGTACTATTATGTCAGTAGTACTTTTGATATGATGTAATGAGGGTACTTCACCTAGGAATAAACCTAACAAAAGAGGCAAAGGATCTGTACTCAGAAAACTATAGAACACTCATAAAAGAAATTGAGGAAGACTTAAAGAAATGAACAATGTTGCATGCTCATGGATTGGAAGAACAAATACTGTTAATATGTCTATGCTACCTAGAGCAATCTATACATTCAATGCGCTCTTCATCAAAATGCTATCAACTGGGCAGCCCAGGTGGCTCAGCGGTTTAGCAGTGCCTTCAGTCCAGGGCATGATCCTGGTGACCCAGGATCTAGTCCCACATCGGGTTCCCTGCATGGAGCCTGCTTCTCCCTCTGCCTATGTCTCTGCCTCTCTCTCTCTCTCTCTCTCTCTGTCTCTCATGAATAAATAAATAAAATCTTTAAAAAAAGAAAAAAGAAAACCAAAACTGGTGGCACTACAATTCCAAATTTCAAGCTCTATTACAAAGCTGTAATCATCAAGACAGTCTGGTACTGGCACAAAAACAGAGATAAATGGAATAGAATAGAGAAACCTAGAAATGGACCCTCAACTCTATAGTCAACTCATCTTTAATAAAGCAGGAAAGAATATATAATGGAAAAAAGACAGTCTCTTCAACAAATGCTCTTGGGTAAATCGGACAACCACATGCAGAAGAATAAAACTGGACCATTTCCTCACCCCATACACAAAAATAGACTCAAAAAGAATGAAAAACCTATATGTGAGACAGGAATCCATCAAAATCCTAGTGGAGAACACAGGCAGCGACTTCTTTGACCTCAGCCACAGCAATTTCTTACTAGACATATCTCCAAAGGCAAAAATGAACTATCTTGATTTCATCAAGATAAAAGATTGCTGTACAAAAGATTCCTTTTGTACAGCAAAGGAAACAGTCAACAAAACCAAAAGATAATCAAGAAGATATTTACAAATGACACATCAGATACAGGGCTAGTATCCAAGATATACAAAGAATTTATCAAGCTCAACACCCGAGGAACAAATAATCTTAATCAAGAAATAGGCAGAGAACACAGACATTTCTCCAAAGACGATGTACAAATGGCCGACACATGAAAAAATGTTCAACATCACTCAGCATCAGGGGAAAAGAAATAAAAACCACCTGACACAGGTCAGAAGGCTAAAATTAACAAGTCAGGAAATGACAGATGTTGGCGAGGATGCAGAGAATGGGGAACCTTCTTACACTATTGGTAGGTAGGTAAGCTGGTACAGGTATTCTGGAAAACAGTATGAACGTTCCTCAAAATGTTGAAAATAGAGCTACCCTACAACTCAGAAATTGCACTACTGGGTATTTACCGCAAAGATAAAAATGTACTGATCCAAAGGGGTGTCTGTACCCAAGGTTTACAGCAGCAATGTCCCCAATAGCCAAACTATGCAAAGAGCCCAGATGAGCATCAACAAATGAATAGATAAATAAGATGTGGTATATATATATATATTACTCAGCCATCAAAAATGAAATATTGCCATTTGCAAAGATATGGATGGAACTAGAAGACATTATGCTAAGTGAAATAAGTCAATCAGTGAAAGATAGTTATTGTATGATCTCATATGTGGAATTTAAGAAACAAAACAGAGGATCATAGGCAAAGAGAAGAAAAAATAAAACTAGGCAAAATCAGAGAGAGAGACAAACCATAAAAGACCCTGAATCATTGGAAACAAACTGGGGGTTACTGGAGGGAAGAGGGGTAAGGGGATGGTGTAACTGGGAGATGGACCTTAAGGAGGGCACATGATGTAATGAGCACTGGGTGTTATATAAGACTGATGAATCACTGACCTCTACCTCTGAAACCAATAATATATTCTATGTTAATTAATTGAATTCAAATAAAAATTTAAAAATTTATTTTTTATAAACCATGTTGATTTTTTATAAACCATGGTATTATGTTGATAGTACCATTGATATGATGTAATGAAAAGAGTACTTTACATCTGTGGTTTTCCTTCTCCAAATATACAATCCCTGTCTAATCCTGAGAAAAATCCTAAGAAAAATATCAGATAAGTCCCATTTTAGAGGACATTCTACAAAATAACTGCTCAATACTCCTCAAAACTGTCAAGGTCATCAAAAACGAGGAAAGTATGAGAAACTGTGAGAGCCAAGAGGAGCTTAAGGAGATATAATGGCTTAACGTAATGTCTTCCCTCTACATCTTTGCAATACTTTGTACTACTAGATATTTAATCTTTGCCAATTTTTCAGCTAATGGTTCTAGTATTCGCTGCTGATCATTACCCAAAATCTATTCATTGGAGTTGCTGATAATGATTTATTTAATCTTATAGGATTTTAGAAGTCAGTAATGGATATTGATTTTTACTGAATACTTTTTCTGGGTCTATCAAAATGATCAAAATTTTTCATAAAACCATCATTGTATTCCTGGGATCAACATTGCTCATTACATTTTTTCATGAACTGCTAAAGTCCACTTAACATTTTTAGCAATTTTTAATCTACTTTCAAAAATAATTAAATTTCTATTTTTTTCTTATACCATTCTTGTTTGTTTTGATGTCAAGGTTACACTTGTTTTATGAAATGAATGGGTAGTTATTTCCCTGGTCCACACTGGACTCACCATATCCTCAATCTAGGAGTTGCATTTACATAGCACTGAAGTCTATCCACCAGTATTAGGTACTGTTATTCCACTACATTAACCCAAGAATATCATCAGTTGGTTGTGCAGTTCTAGTGGTTTTAATTTTTACTCATGGAAGGAAGGAAGGAAGGAAGGAAGGAAGGAAGGAAGGAAGGAAGAACAGACAGAAAGAACAAACAAATAAAAAGTAACTATCCATTCATCAACTAGGGGAAAACCATAATCAATGGTTTGCCTTTTCATTCCCAATAAGTAGAGTCTTTCATGGAGTTATTGATCAATTAAAAAAATCTGCTTTTTAGTGAAGATTAAAATTGTTAGTGAAAGTTATTTCTTCTACCAAACTGTTCTTTCATTTGTCTACTTTGCTTAAAGAAAAATAATTGCAATGATTATTTTTATTTTATAGGGTTATTGACTGCAGATTGCAATTACCATGTCTGATGCAGTAATTCTTCGCAGTGTGAAGAAATTTGGAGAGGACAATTATGGTTTTGAGTCAAACACATTCTGTAAGTGGCCTTTTTCTCTTACTGTCACTTATATAAAAAGAGGCTAGAGCAAAAGTGGACAAGCTAGTGAAGTTTCGAAGGGCAGAGTCAAGCCACAATAATATGGAGAACCATTACGGGATGCACTTCTCACCCACAAATGGGTGGTTCTCTCCAGAATCCATGTAATGGAATGTTTGAAAATGCTAGGTAAAAACACATGAACTATACATTGAAGGATATAACCAGTGGAATTGGTATCTTTTGCAAGATTAAAATCATGACAAGTCCAGAAATGGATGTCCAAATCCATTTCACTGATATCAAAAAACATTTCAACTCTTACACTCTCACAGGTAGAATGAATTGGGTACTGGCCACATATGAAGGCATTGCTTTGATGATCTTATACTTCAAGTTAAGGTCTACAAAAGCACCAACTGTGAAAGCTACATAAGTGGAATTTAAACTGTACCTCACCTGTTAAGTTCCCAGGCCTGGAGAAGCTAATGTCAACCCATCATGTGATAGTTTGTACAATAAATTATGATCCTGGGAAAAAAAACACACAAAGAGTGGGTGAATGAAAGTATGTTATCTATAAATATCTCTTTCCCAGTAAAGTGGTGTTGTTCCAGCATTGGTTATTATTATTGCCTTTATTCATCTATCATTATAATTGATTACAGTAGTGATTATTCAGTGAGAAACTACCGAGACTGCTGGCCAGAATGAGATGATGGGAAAGAGGACCCATAGCATTACTACTTAACATCTAGTGAGCACAAGTGATTCCAAGCAATTATTATTATTTTTAAAGATTTATTTACTTATTTGAGAGAGAGAGAGAGCCTGAGCAGGGGGAGGGGCAGAGAGAAACCATAGGGGAAGCAGACTCCCCGCTGAGGGGGAGCCATACTGAGGAGGGGTCTTAATCTCATGATCCCTGAGATCATGACCTGAACTGAAACTGAGAGTCAGTCACCTAACCGACTGAGCTGCCCAGGTACCCCTAAATTATTATTTAAAAAAAAATCCTATGATTCTACAACTTACAGAAGAAGAAAATGAGACTTAACTGTCTCTTTCTCATATATATATATATATATATATATATATATATATATATATATATATAAAGAGAGAGAGAAAGAGACAGATATATAAAGAGAGAGAGATCTATATAAATATATATATATATGTATATATATATATATTTAAACTTGGCAAAGATTACAGGAACAATAATTAATGGATCCATTATCCTAATCCAGTTCTGATTCCCAAACCCAAGATGTTATCTCTATCTATTCTATAATGCCTCTTTACTCTTACTTAAAATACATAATTAAAATGCCAGAGAATCAGGATGTGCTGTCCCATGGTGATGGTTGACATTAGCACCCTGAATTCCTTTCCCTGTTGTTTCCCTATACTCAATGACCTTGCATCCTCACTTTCACTTCCTACCCTTCATTTGCTAGCCTGGAGAAAATCACATCCAGCTCAATACTGTGATTTCTCCTGGCATGGGAGTGTCAACGTCATCTTATTGTTTAGTTAATTTGTGGTCTCAATTTTAAATAGATAAATTCTGATATTTCCAAGGAACCAAACAATAAATATTCATTTTCCTTGGTAGTTCAAAAAATTAGATTTTCTTCAGCTAATTTAAAAATGTTGGTCTCCAGTGGACATTCAGAAAATACAAATATCTCAAAACTTATAGAAATATCGAAAAATGTAGTCAAGCCAGCAGTCCTGAACCTGACAGGGTATCTTCTTGTGTAATATGAAGGAGACAGAGAGAGAGAGCGAGCGAGAGAGAGAGAGAATGAAAAAAAAAAGGAGAAAAAGGCAAATAGTCATTTCGCAATGTTCCACAAATAAAGCTAATTTATGGGAATGTTTTTCCAGAGCAAAATTGTTAATGACTATGTCGTTGTGTCATTATTATTAACTGCTTTGTGCATTGTTTTTATCCTGACAGATAATAATGACAAGAATTCAAGGTAAGTGACTATTCCAACAATACATCACCTTTTCTAGAATAACTTCCTAATACTCCTTTTAAAGGCACAAAGCAGATATAATATTTTCATGCATATTGTACTTCCTATAAAATGGCATAGGTAATCCATTTCTTTTCTCTTTAAAACACTGCTGTAATTTGTTTTCAAAAACCTTTTAGAATATCCCTCTGGATTAGGTCCACATCTCCCCTATGTATCCAGCAACACCACAGAATTTCAAACCTAAATGGACAAAGGAAAAGTTGAATGAGTATGATTTCATGAGCACAGGGGAGATCCCTAAACCTCAAATTCTTCCCACAGGCAAATAATAGAAGCCTGAAATTTAATTATTAGATATTTCTCTTTAGTTTGAGAGTTTACTTTCTCACATAAAAAATGTCAGTTAATCATACATTGGTAAAAAAAAATCATACATTGGTATAAGAGTAGGATTAGATTGAATTTAATTTAGAATACACAAGGTAGGCACCAGGCAATTTTCTGCAAAAGAGGTGGTGGAAAGGCAGAGGTTGAAGTTATTAAGGAAATTTTAAGTAATTCGCAGTAGAGAGGAGTGTTGGATGTGGTAACATTAGTGTCAGACTAGGAGTGCTAGGGTCAGCCTGGATCTAGAATAATCACACTTTTCTCACTGGGTAAAAAAAAAAGATGAAAATGAGCATAGGTGTAGATGAATGGCAAGGAGAGAACGCACAGGAAGTTTGAGTGAATTTTTCAGTTTTTAGAGATGATTTTATCTTCTGATAGATGTGGTAATGTAGAATAAGAAGATCATGGTGAAGTTTGAGAAAGCTATGGAGAGAAATGGGACAATCTGTAGACAGATGAAGTACAGTGATGTAAATTGAGCTAAGGCTGGAGACCATACTCATTTGTTCATTCATTTCACAAATATTAATTAAGTGCCTATTAGGTATCAGAAACTATTACAAGGGATCCCTGGGTGGCGCAGCGGTTTAGTGTCTGCCTTTGGCCCAGGGAGCGATCCTGGAGACCCAGGATCGAGTCCCACGTTGGGCTCCCGGTGCATGGAGCCTGCTTCTCCCTCTGCCTGTGTCTCTGCCTCTCTCTCTCACTGTGTGCCTATCATAAATAAATAATAAAAAAATTAAAAAAAAAAAGAAACCATTACAAGTGCTGAGGATACAGAAAAGAACCAAATAGGCAAAAATCTCTGTCCTTGGGGAGCTTACATTTTAGTAAGGGTGACATAATAAGCACCGTAAATAAATACAATAAATAGCATGGTAGCTTGTAATAATCTATCACTTTCTTTCTAAGAAAAAAGCAAACATGGAATGGAGATATGAAAAGGTGTGGACAGGAAGTTGAAATTTTAAAGGTTTTGGCCAGGGAAGATCTCATTGAGAAGGTGACTTATGGGGGAAAATCTGAAAGAGATGAGAGGGTTGGCCATGCAGGTATCTGAAGAAAGAGTATTCTGGCAAGAGGAAATAGCAAGTGCAGATGGTCAAAAGTGAGAATAAATTTGATATGAACAAAGGTCAGCAAAGAGGCCAGATGCTTGGGTGCTGAGAGCTGGAGTGCAGTAGGAGGAGACAAGGTCGGAGAGCCAATTGGCTAGACCGTGGAGGCCCTTGGACATCTCAACAAGCACTTGGGATTCTACTCTGAGCCGGAGGGGAAGCTGATTTCCCCAGGCATGGCACGGGTTGGCATGAGTTCACAGGGTGAAGAGTTTGTCTCCAGCAGGCCCCACAGCTTGGCTTTAGGAGGAGAGGGGCAAACAGCTGGATGGATGCAGAGTTGAGTTTTCAAAGATAGAGGCAGGGAAAAGGATTAAGGAAGATGGTAAGAATGTAGTCCAAATGGTTTGTGTGAGATCTGGGATGCCTGGGGAAGGAAGTACAACCTTGATGGGGTGTTGAGAATTATAAAGTAATGAGGGTTTAAGGGACTGCACATTTCAACTGGGATGACAAATAGGTGTATAATGAGGAAGGAAGTGACAAAACAGGATACATAGGCAGTCCCAGAATGCCAATGGAGTAGAGTAATTTCTGGTGAGAGAAAGGTCCAGGGTGTGTCCATGAATGGTGAAGTAGAAATCTCTGAAGTTGCGAAGGTCAAAGATGGGTTAGATACAACTTTATGAGAGATGAAATGAGTAAGGAATACTAAGGAAATATGATTTTATGGGAAGTATGGGAGTTTTTAAAAACTTTCCATCATATTAATACTATTTGATGTAGTTGTAAAATTTTTAAGTGCTAGAAGGAAGCTTTAAATCAGTTTATCCAACCACCTCAACTTATAAGGAAATAGAAGTAGAAACAGGTTGAGGGTCAAGCCTGGGGTCCAATAGTTATATGTTAGTATAACTGGGAGTAGAGAGCACTTTTTATTTTCTTTCAATACCTCTCAGAAAAACTTCGCTGAATCTCTGCTGAACATGAAATATAGCTATACTGAAATCTCTGGAAGAAGTAAATCTGAACGATAAAAGCTTGTTTTTAGGATGCCAGGTTTGGCAAGAATTTCTCAGTCGGTGGGGACTTTATTTCTTACTAAAGGATGACTCATAAAATCATCACCTAAGGAGAATTTCTCTTTGTTTTGGAAAGGATGGTCTATAAATCCATATGTTTTTCTCCTCAGGTTACAAGATGAGAGGAAAGGTGACAGCAGCCAAGTTGGCTTCTTTCAATTGGTAATAAAACTGTGCTGATTTTTGACATAAATTTTACAACCGCAAATTGTTCAGCTCATGGAGGGAGTGTTAAATCTTTAGTCACTGGCAGGTTTTTAAGTACAGTGTTCACTTTTTCAATATCTTTTCAGTAATAAACTTTGCCTATGTAATAACATGCTAAATGGCAATTAGAAATATATTGGTAACTAACACATAAATCCTGGGGCGCCTGGGTGTCTCAGTCTGTTAAGCATCCAACTCTTGATTTTAGCTCAGGTCCTGATCTCAGGGTTGTGAGATTGAGCCCTGTGTTGGCCTCTATGCTGGGCATGGAACTGCTTAAAATTCTTCCTCTCTCTCTCTCTCTCTCTCCCCTTGTGCCCCTCCCCACTGCCCCCCCCACATAAATAAATTAATAAATTAATTAAAAAGTACATAAATCCTATCTGGTAGATCAGAAAAGTGTCCTGGAAAATAATCACTATGCCCATAATTATTTTAGTAAGGAAAATCATTATAGTAATCATATGGTGTATATTTATCCTTATATGTCTTTAGAAATTCCATAGTTTAGGTCTTTTCTCCAAACTTTCACAAGGTAGAGGCATTTCTAGGCACTAATAGGCACTCGTTTGTCAATATCAGTTATGGGATACAATTTATGCTATTGCTGATTGCTTCACACAGTATTTCTACGCGGCAATGGCATCAATGCCAATGATCACTTCTCACTGAAGTTGTGAATCAGTGGCAAAGAACTGAAGCCAGTTCTTGAGGTGAAGAATGAATTCAGAGACTAGGAAATAAGTAACATAAACCAACAATGTAAGAGTCTAGTGTTTTAGATAATTGAGATACCACTTATTTTGATATAATTAGTGAAAGCCCTACTGTTCAATTAAGATGATTCCCATAAAATTTGGTGCTGAATGCTATCTATCAGAATCTAGTAACTAAAATTAAATAGTCCTACTTCTCCCGCTTTTCACCCATAGATGATCTCTGAATCCTTTGTTTTTCAAGTTTCGATTTTCTTCAACGACTGACATTTGGCTGATGTTTGTGGGAAGTTTATGTGCGTTTCTCCATGGACTATCCCATCCAGGCGTGCTGCTCATTTTTGGCACAATGACAGATGTTTTTATTGCATATGACACTGAATTACAAGAACTCAAGATCCCTGGAAAAGCGTGTGTAAACAACACTATAGTCTGGATCAACAGCTCCCTTAACCAGAATGTGACAAATGGAACACAGTGTGGGTAGGCTGCTATTTCTTATTTTTTACTTTTTGTTGTTCACATATTAAATTATAATTCAAAATGTGTAAATGGGATTTTATTAGTTGAACTGAAATGATATCCAACACAGTGAACAGAAACATAAATTTAACCCATATTTCTACAAAATACTCTGCCTTGAGTGTCTTCCTATCTTACCAGGTTTTTAAATACTAACAACAAAAAAAGAATTGGAAATTGCTCATTAAATATATCACCCATATTTAAGCACTTGGTAGACTATAGGCTTAAGGACAAACACTACCATATACTAGGAAAGTAAGCCATGAATTTTACTTGAGTCTTTGTCATGTCCCATGTCTACTATGCAAGACTTCTTTGTATTAGTTCATAACACCTTTCTGTTTCTTAACTTCTGTGGTTGTGGCTAATGGTCCACTTGATCTTCAGCCTTCTTTCTATAATGGGAAATTCATTAGTGTACTACAACACTGGTCTTTGTAGTTGAGTTTCTATGGAAGAGTGGTACAGTGCTATAAAGAGAAGGGAGCCATGCAGAATTAGCCAGAACTCACTCTTGATAATTAACTCATTTTGTGATAAGTCCAATAGGTAGCTTTGTAATCAGTGAGTCTGTAGTATTCAGTGTTGACTCACTGTCACAGCATGGACTTTGTAGCCTTTCTTGCACTGCCTTGGGACAGAACAAGCTCATTTGCATGTATGAACCCACACACTCAGGTTCAAGAGCCAAGGGCAGGACACACTCTAGCTGGAAAGAACTTGGAATAGCTTCCCTAGGCAAATTTATATTTTTCCACTTCACTTAAAAATTTTTCTACGTATTTGATTTAGATTATGAACAAATCCTCCTCAACCACTGATACTCTTCCATGATATTATCTACTGTTCGGGTCTTTCATCCATTCACTCATTCAACCAAAATTGTTTGAACACCAACTACATACCAGGAGCTTGTGTAAGTCTTAAGGATCAGTGGTTTTCTTGAGTCATGGTCCTTATCTTCATGGTGTTTAGGTCTAGTCAATGTAATCATCATTAGATCAAAGACATTCAAATAAACATGTAGATACAGCTAGGTAGTACTTGACAGAAAAATACAGGAGAACATACAATGTGCAGAATTACCCTTTAAAAAATCATAAGCTGGGCAGCCTGGGTGGCTCAGCAGTTTAGTGCTGCCTTCAGCCCAGGGCATGATCCTAGAGACCCAGGATTGAGTCCTACATTGGGCTCCCTGCATGGACAGCCTGCTTCTCCTTCTGCCTCTCTCTCTCTCTGTCTGTCTCTCATTAATAAATAAATAAAATCTTAAAAAAATAATAAGCCCACTCATTAGAAATACATTTTCTAACGTCTAAATATATATGTTTCTTTTCTAAATGTGGAAGTAAGATTCAGAAGGGTTGGTATAGAAGAGTTACTGTTGTCCACGACAGTCTTTTAAGTCTTTCATTTATCTTGGAGGACAAAAGTGAAATGCTTTTTACAGAATACTTTGACTACAAAATGTAATGCTAATTACTTCCCCCTTTGAAAAAAAAAATGCTTTCGGATTCATATATGATGTAAATTGACCCAAATCATTAATAACATTCAAGAAGGTAAAATTTTCTAGGGAAAATTCCTGAAAGTATATCCTGTTATACCTTGAAGTTTGGAAATAAATGTTAGAGGACCAAAATTTGAGACATATCCGTGGTATCACATGCTCAAAAATATTTATTAAGTGATTTAAAGAATGAATCTACTATTAACTTCTGCATTACTAACATCCCATAGAAAAGAGTTTACTGTGGCTACCCATTACACTTTATTTATTCTTACTGGGTCATATACTTGAGGTGAGCAGATAATGAAAAGCAAACAGGGGCTTTCAGAAGCTCATTGGCTTTTGCTGAGTTCATATGATACAGAAGATGTAAATGGATATTTGTCCTTTCTAAAATTTCATATGGGTATCTGGAGTTGTGTAGACCACGTCTTTCTCAAGCCTTTTCTTTACCAGAAACTCCTTTGATGAGTTACACACTTCAATTGTGGACTATTACGGTCCCTGACATGACTACTGTTTTACCTCTAGGTAGATGTTTGTTTAGCTTTTATGTAGTTAAGATCACTGTGAAAGTGGATTTGGGCGGGACAAAAGAGAAGGGAGTGGACATTTTCCTACCATGTAAGTAGTTAACGTGCCTCCAGAATTACTCAACTCTTTTTTGCAACTTTCATTCCTGGAAAAGTGTATCATTAAAAGTGATAAAAGTGATAAAAGTGACTTTCTCCACCTATTAGTCTTGGACAAGGTTATGATCTTATCAACATAAACATGCATGTGTAATGGTAGGAGTGGGTTTTTCTTTTTCATTTCACTGATTGGTTTCAATATCAATTGTAATCCATTGGATGGAATTTTTCAGCAAAGTCTTCCAAACTGCTCTCAGTGCATAATGCTGAAAAGTATTATGGAACATCAAGCTTCCTGATTAGTTTATCAGAATTTATTTGCTTAGAATAGTTGAAAAATAAAGCAAAATAATGAAAGATGACTGAAGGGGAAGTCTAAAGAGTCCAAATACCACAGTGCAGCTTCTTTTTATTTTCTTTTATCCAATTAATGTGTAAAAATTCAAATGGAAGCCACAGAGTCTTGTGACTTAATTGTGGAAGTGACATACCATAATTTCTTCCATTTTCTATTAGTCGCACCACCAACCCTGGTACAATCTGGGAAGGGACTATACAACAGTGTGAATACCAGGAGACAAGAAAGATTAAGGGCATGGAGGTTGACTACTGCTGCCATTGAGAATGTGGATTCCTTATTTCCCCCGCATATGAGTGCATCAAAGTAGAACTCAGCCTGCACTCTTTCTTAGATTTCAGTCTGTTTTCTTAGCATGTACACATTCAAGCACTATGTTGAAGTTAGACATTGCAAAACCATACAGCTTTATTTTATTTTATTTTATTATTTTATTTTATTTTAGAACAGCTTTATTGAGATACGATTCACATACCATAAAATTTACCAATTTAAGTGTACAACTCAATAGTTTTCAGTATTTCAGTTGTGCATCTATCACTACAATCAATTTTAGAATATTTTTATTATGACAAAAAGAAATCCTATACCCCTCAGCTATCACTCCCCAATTCCCCATCCCCCTCAGCCCTAGACAACCATTGGTCTACTTTCTAGCTCTGTAGATATGCCTATTCTGGACATTTCACACAAATGGAATTTCACAATATGTGGTCCTTGGCTTCTTTAACTTAGCATAATGTTTTCAAGGTTCATCATATTGTAGCATGAATTAGGACAGCCTAGCATCTGTCTATCTTGGAGGGTGTTCCAGGTACACTTGAGGGGGATATGTAGTCTGCTTTTATTTAACAGAATGTTCAAAAGATGTCTGTTAGATCTAATTGGTTTATGGTGTTATTCAAATCCTCTATTCCTAATTGTTCTATCCAATACTGAAAGTATGGAGTTGTAATCTCTATTATTATTGAATTATTTCTACTCTTGAATCTGTCACACTTTGCTTCATGTGTTTGGGAGCTATTTTTAAATGTATATATATTTAAAATTGCTATAATCTTCTGATTGAGCCTTTTATCATCACAAAATGATATTTATTTCTAGTAATCATTTTTAAAATTTTTTTATATTAGTAGAGCCATTCCTGGTTTGTTATGGCTGCTCTTTGCCATGACATGTCTTTTTCCATATTACTTTCAACTTGTTCATATCTTTGAATCTAAAATGTGTCTTCTATAGAGAGCCTATAATTGGAGTTTGTGTTTTTTAAAAATTTATCCAATCTGACAATCTCTGCCTTTTGACTGGATTAATTAATCCATTACTTATAAAACCAAACTACCTAGTAGTCTGAAAGAGTGGATAAAAGAAGGTTAGAGATCTTAGGGCCCAAATAATGACATGGTTGAGTTCCTTGGGTTTTCTTTAGGCCTCATATGTACTAGATTGGGTGTTGCAAAAACTGCAACCTAGAAATACCAATGAGCACAGCCCACAAAGGACCTAATAAAATTCTCTCTCTCTAGATAATGGACCACAAAGAGGCAGCCTAACAGAATAATGTCAGGCAACAACTATTCTACTTTAGTCAACACCACAGAACAAAACAGCATACATATAACCTTACTCTTACCCATGCCAGCAAAAGTTGAGTTGGGAATTAGGCTTCCATCTTTGCCAGGTATCAATGAGCCCCAGCCATGTCTCTTCCCCATCCAACTCCTGTGGTGTTACTGAAGAATATGTGGAGGCCTGAACCACCCCCACTGTAATGAGAAACCTCTCTCCCTACCTGCTTGGGTAAGATCAGAGAGTCAGGACATTTATCACCACCCCCATAGAAGAGAAAATCAAGACATTTTCAGATGAGGGAAATGAAGAGAATTTATTGCCAGCTGACTCACCTAAAAGAATGGCTAAGAGAAGTTCTTTGAACAGAAAGGAAACAATAAAAGAAACCTTGAACATTTAGAAGGAAGAACATGGTAAGCAAAACCATGGGTAAATGTAGTAGACTTTCCTTCTCCTGAGTTTTCTAAATTATGTTTGATGGTGGAAACAAAAATGCTAACACTGTCTGATATGGTCCTATTGTAACATTGCCTGAGGTGAGTATGATTCAGAAATATTAAAGACAATTATATTATTAACAGGGGAGAGTAAAGGTATATAAAGGGAGGTGGTGTTTTTATATACCCTGTGCAAACTGGTAAAATGACAACACCAGCAGACTATAATAAGTGATATACCTATAATGTAATTCCTAGAGCAACCACTAAAAAACTATGCAAAGAGATACACTCAAAAACACTACAGATAAATCAAAATTGAATTCTAAAAAAATGTTTAAGGGGTGCCTGGCTGGTTCAGTCAGTTAAGCATCTGACTCTTGATCTTAGCTCAGGTCTTGATCTCAAGGTTGTGAGTTCAAGCCCTGCATTGGGCTTTACTTATTTTA